TCTACTTCATTTGGCATTAATTTAACTACTTCAGCTTCTCGTTGTGTAATATTTTTCTATTTACTATTAACCTTCTTTGTGTCTCTTGTAGACAATATTACCTGTTCTAACAGTTCTGCTTTTTCATTGAAATTTCTAGACCTTTTAATGTAATTATCAACATGGTTCCATGTAGATCAATCATCTTGTTATTTGTTTTTGTTTTTGTTTTTTGTTTTTGTTTTGGATCTCTACTGATATTGTTTGTCTTTCTTTTTTTAGATAGGGTCTCATATGCCCTATGCTGGCCTTGTTCTTGACATGTAGCCAAGCACAAGCCTCTGCCTCCATCTCCCAGGTGCTGTTTCTGTTGTCTTTTCTGTCTTAGGTGATCCTCATTTCTCCTGACAATTGAAGTTTCTAACACAATTTCTCTTCACTCTGAACAACTTTGTTTATAGTTCAAGTCTGCTAGTGACAAATCCTGTTTTTTTTTTTTTTGCTTTATGATTTTGGGGTTTGTTTGTTTTTCAAGACAGGCTCTCTATGTGTGTAGCCTTGGCTGTCCTAGAACTCGCTCTGTAGACGAGAGTTGTTCCACACAAAAGCTTTTTACTGGTGCCTTGGGGAACACAAGAAAAAACATGTCCACCTGGGGCAAAGCATTGACCGAAGAGGGCCCCACTGCAGGGTAAGAGGTTCCTCAGAGATACAGGGTGGACATCTTGAGGGGCAATTGAGAGCAGAAGGGGCTAGAGAGCGTACAAGTTAGTCATTCTTCACTCAAGAAGCTTCCGAAGATTTACGCTCACGTCTGTTAATTGGACACTGGAGGGCAGGTGCCTGAGGACTGGGGACACCCAGCTTCAACACAGGAGACCCCGGTTTAATCTGATTACTATTATGAAGCGTGTGTACTTTCAGTTCTTCCGGCCCCCAGCCAGACCCCAGATGTCTTACTATTCAGCCAAGGTATGTGAAAACTTGCCAAAAATGATGTCCTTACCCTGGTGGGTAGATGGGGTCCTGCTGACTTTACGATACCACCCAGGGTGTAGCTCACCATGCAGACTACAGAATGTGTCCCTGAGCCAGGAACCATGTCAAAACAGTGAGTCCTCTCTCACCGTCAGAAATACTTTCCCAGAGACACCAGTAGTTCAGGTTACCAGCGTTGGGACGGGTGGCACGGGAGTTAGTTCTAGCTTCACCTATGAAGAATCTGTCCTGGCTTCCAGGGCCAGGATGATGGTGAGGACAGTGAGGCATAAAAGTGTGCTGTTTAAAGTGGTGTCCAAACACTCAACAGTCAGACAAATTTTGTGATAATTCAGTGTTTTTCTAGAATTGTGTAAAAGTGCATTCTGTGTGTGTGTGTGTGTGTGTGTGTGTCCCTTGAGCATAGTAAGCAAGCACTCTACCACTGAACTTTATCCTCGATGGCTTCTTTTGTTTTTTTTTTGTTTTTTTTTT